AAGGTCTAGTTGAAGTTGACTTGTCTGCCATCTTGGACCCCTTTGATTTAATCACTTGATGTTTTTTCCTTGGGCTATGTCATTCTTTGAAAGGCTGTGCCCCGCCCTCTTCCCTCCTGTTTCACAACTCCCGAGCCCTTGCACCGTAACTAGAGAGTCCAGGAGCCACAACCAAAGATCCCGCATGGCGCAACGAAGATCCCACGTGCCGCAACTAAGACCCGACGCAGCCTAATAAATAAATAGTTTAAAAAAAAAAAGTAATGAAGCTGCGATGCCATACTTAACTTTTTCCACTTTTTTCTTTTTCCTCTAACTCATTGTTTGTCTTTTGTTTGCTCTCAGAAGCAATAATCCTAATGGAAAAAAATTTCCTTCTCTTTGATCTGTCTTGAAAAATCAGTTTGAGATTTCTCAAACAGAGAAGTGGATATGGATGAGAGAGGCGTGGAGTCTTAAAACTATACTTGGTTTTTATCACCAAGGCTACAACAGTTAAGACTATGCCACCTGTCTTTTGCAGCCCCTTAAATAGACAGATCTCTTTTGTGGACAACTTTATTTTAATTATAACCCAGCCACCAGTACAGTAGCAGCAGTGTAAAGAGGAGGAGGAGGGGAGGGAAGAGGAAGGGGAGAACTCGGGGAACTTGTTTTCATAAGATGTCCAGGTTGATGTTTCTGCTGGAAAATACTACCTGGGAATTGTTATCCTTTTTAGCAAAAGGACACTGAGTATCAAGTACTACTGTAAAAATGCAAACAGCATACAAATCCTACTACTTTATTCTGTGGGAATTTTCTGTGAAAACCTGTGTAAGATGGATGAAGAGCCCGCACCATTCTTAACTTAGGAAATTGCTACCATTTTGATTCTAAGAATGTCCTTCTTCAAGATGAACAAGTTCACTTTAGTTTAGAAGAAGGAAATGCAAAACAAGGAGCTAAAGGGCTTGTTTACTTGATTCTTAATGATCAAGATTGACTAATTGGTTTATTCAGGTTTGCTCAGCATATTGAATGTTAACTAACCTAAAGAAAAAACAAAAAGTCTGATTTAATTTCATCATCCATTTAAAAGGGAACAATCCGGTAATTTGAAAGAGAAAACAATATTTTTTTCACAATCTAAGAGGAATTTTCTAACTAAACTCTAATTGATTTCAAGAGTTTCAAGTTCTTTAGTTCTTTTATATCATCTATATTCTTTAAAAAAATTAATTTATTTATTTTAATTGGAGGCTAAGAAACTCCAATACTTTGGCCACCTGATGCAAAAAGCTGACTCATTTGAAAAGACCCTGATGCTAGAAAGATTGAGCGCGTGAGGAGAAGGGGATGACAGAGGATGAGATGGTTGGATGGCATCACTGACTCGATCGATGGACATGAGTTTGGGTAAACTCCAGGAGTTGGTGATGGACAGGGAGGTCTGGCATGCTGCGGTTTATGGGGTCGCCAAGAGTCAGACACGACTGAGCAACTGAACTGAACTGAATTACTTTACAAAATTNGGCATGCTGCGGTTTATGGGGTTGCCAAGAGTCAGACACGACTGAGCAACTGAACTGAACTGAATTACTTTACAAAATTGTGGTGGTTTTTGCCATATATTCTTTTATATCATCTCTACTGACCACAACTTGTTCTAGGGTACAGAGTGAGAAGACAGTTGCTTGAAAACAGGTCCTGGAAACTCCCACATGTTAGGAGACCTAGACAGTGAGAAGGGATTCCTCAAGTGCTTCTCAGAACGAAAAACTTCTTGTGTTGGTGAGCTTCTATGGCCTCAGCTTGCTTTCACCTTGTGGCTTAAAGCAGGATTTTGGTTCCCAGCCAGGGGTTAAAGGTCAGGCCTCAGCTGAGAGCACTGGGTCCTAGCCACTAGACTGTCAGGGACCAGTGGTCGGTGACAAGGCCTGGCCTGTACAGCTTTGCAGAAAATGAATTTCCACAGAAGAACAAAAAGTAGTGAAACAAGTACTATTCAGAAGAAGAAGAGTATGTGTGGATAGGCACACATGGGCAGACGCAGAGTGTTGCGCCCTCACCGTAATTTGAATCACTTACATGGGGCATTTCTTCCAGGTTTCCTTTGGCCGTCTTGCTTTGCCTGGTTCTGGGTCTGTATTGGTTTATCTCAGGGTCCTCTCGTGTGTGCATGGGCTTTTCTTAACCAAGATGGATTCTAGCAAACATACATATGAGAAGGGTGACATCTTTCCGTTTTTGGTCTTTCTGTGCATGTATAGTTGGAACGTTTTCCTTGACCTCAAGAATGAGAAATATGTGGTCTCTGGGCAGGGCATAGCTCCTCCTCCTCTTCATCTTGGAGTATGTTTCCACAGGGTACAGACTCCAGATTTTCGGCCTAGGGCCCATCTGTCTCTTGCCTCTATGGAAGCCTTGAAAGTGTCCTGTGGACAGTGACAGTCAGAGGCTTCTGCATGTCTTCTGTTAGCTGTCAGAGATCTATATAAAGATTATGTTTGCACTTCAGCTCCACGAAAGCCCACTGTGATTTTTTCCTTCCTCTTGAGAAGCAGGTTTTCCTGGTTGGAGTATAGTGGCAAGGATAAAAGATCCCCCACCCACTTACTCCCAAGTCCTGTAAGAGATAATAACTTTTACTCCAACAAAGCCTTGGTTACTTTGCTTCTCTGACTCAAACTGATGCCAGTGTGAAATTTCTTTAGGAGTCACTCCCTCCCTGGTTCCAAAGGGGTGCTCCAGGTATCTCTACCACAGTCTTGAGAACTTTACTAACCAATGAGCTTAAAACATCCCCTCAAATAAGCCAGTCCCAGGGTCCAAAGCAAAAGGAACCATTTTCCCCAAAATCCAGCTTCTCTTGGGTTCACTTTTGGCTTCTGATTCTCATCCAGGAGAATGTTTGAGAGTATCAGTAGAAGATATAGAGAAATTCTTAAACTTGTAAACAAATGCATTTACTTCACTTCCTCTTAAGTGCCAATAAAACTTCCTCTTAAGTGCCAATAAAACAGAAGTAAGGGAACAAAAATGTGGATAGGTAAAGGAAAAAGAGAAGTTCATGATATGAGAATTAGTGAAGATGCAACAGCTATTAAGTCAATTGATTTCAGAAGTGGCAAAGAATGTGGATGGATGATACTGACTCAGCATGCCTGATGGAGTTCAAAGTGTGCAGTAGGTGAGCCTTGAAGGAAAAAGATTCATGCCACAGAGCCCTAGAGAGGCTCAGAGATTGGAAGTTCCACCCACCTCTGAAGGTGGGTTCCAAGGCTGGTGTGTTGCGTGGAGGGACAGAAAAGAGAATGGAAAATTACTTTAAAGATCAGTTAGATCCATCACTTCATTCTCCAAATTCATACACCCAGGTAACAACCCCTCTGTAACCCCATGATGAATTAGGTTTACTTTCTGGAGAAGCTCAATTATGGATCATCTGGTGATGACATGGCTAGTGTGATTGAAATTTCCAACTGGAAACACGTGAATGATGAGACCCTCTGCCTTCTGCCCCTTCTGAAGCCACTAGGTTTTTTTTTGACTGTGCCACCCAGCAAGTGGCATCTTAGTTCCCTGACCAGAGATCAGACCCACATCCCCTGTATTAGAAGCACAGAGTCTTAACCACTGGAATGCCAGGGAAGTCCTGAGGCCACCAGGCTTATCCATTTCAGGTAGATGGGATGCTTCCCCAGCCCCAGAATCCATAGCTACAGAGAAGGACATTCACTTCAGTTCAGTTCAGTCGCTCAGTCATGTCCAACTCTTTGCGATGTCATGAACTGCAGCACTCCAGGCCTCCCTGTCCATCACCAACTCCAGGAGTCCACCCAAACCTATGTCCATTGAGTCAGTGATGCCATCCAACCATCTCATCCTCTCTTGTCTCCTTCTTCTCCTGCCCTCAATCTTTCCCAGCATCAGGGTCTTTTCAAATGAGTCAACTCTTCTCATCAGGTGGCCAAAATATTGGAGTTTCAGCTTCAACATCAGTCCCTACAATGACCACTCAGGACTGATCTTCTTTAGGATGGACTGGTTGGATCTCCTTGCAGTCCAAGGGACTCTCAAGAGTCTTCTCCAACACCACAATTCAAAAGCATCAATTATTCTGCGCTCAGCCTTCTTTATAGTCGAACTCTCACATCCATACACGACCACTGGAAAAACCATAGCCTTGACTAGGTTTGTTGGCAAACCTTTGTTGGCAATCCTTTGTTGGCAAAGGAATGTCTCTGCTTTT